ACACTTGAAAGTTAGGAAGTCATTTCAAAAGCATATAAGTGGTCTTGCTCTTTACCGTCCTACTAATTACTTGTTCAGCTACTAAGAATTTGAGCAAAGAACAAGTCCATTCAAAAATAAATAAAGGATGAAAGATACCGGAATGTCATTATCAATTGTTTTAGGGATGCCTGCAACAGCAACTGTCAGATTACGCCTTCTAATTTCCTGCACAAATTAAACAAGTTAACAGAAAATTAATACCAAGGCTATTCACCGGAATACTAATACCACCTCAGAAGTTAAAAGTATGTACCGCCTCAGAAGTTGAAAGTATCCACCATCATGAAACCATTTATATCTCCAATATTATAAATCATAATAGAAGAAATTGAAGAAGTGAAGTATTGGAAGATTGAAAGCTTGTAATTGCAAAAGCAGTCAATAGAAGCTAGAAGTTTCAATAAAAGTGATAGCAAAAGAATAACTTCACAAACTAAGAAATGGACTTTTAAAAGGTGGTTAAGGATCAAGTATGGAAAATGATGGACAAAATATGAATCCTCTAATAGTATAGGACACTTCTGAGGCGACCAGAATAAGAAATACATAATAGTTACAAGAACCTAATATAACAGTGCCCTTCAGTGAAAAGCACAAGGGAATAGTTCCTAAAGTTTGGAGGAATCTTTAAGTTATAAAAGGTGGGTGCAATCATCTATAAATAAGGATACCTCATAGATTACAGCTGCTCCCTTCTGAGTTCCATCGCCTCCAATTATATAAACCTGAACCAGTAATACTGATTATCAGAGCCGAACTGTAGATTCTTATATGCCATAACAATAGTTCTAATTATTAAAGAGGAAGGTACATTAAAAAGATTGGTAGTGATGATTCACAGAATCCTATAAATAAATTTTCATCCTTACCTGATTAATTCCACGGTCCTGAATACTGTCGACTATCTTCATCGTATCATGGCCACCTCGAGATGTTCCCAAGATTGTCCCACCACGTTTATGTATGTCATTTGTAACCTTTGGTGTTAAAGTAACGGTGTTCTTAGAATAGAAACCCCTGTAACCTCCCTACAGTAAAGAGATACCACCATTAGCAGATAGCATAGAGATAAAAGAGGACTTCAAAAGGTATGTTAGGGTACAAAACATCAGCAGCTTGAACTACACAGAAGTCAGAAAGGAAAAATACAGGATTGTCTTTTGGAGAAATTCCTAAGCTCTGATACCTTTTAGATGAATATGATTTGATCGAATTCAATTTCTTACTTATATTTTTTTAATATACGTTTATAATTTATTATAGAGTACAACGACCACTAATTTAGAAATTCTATACAAAGAAATAGGCAAAAACTTCTCTAGGAGATATTAGACCCTAATGAACTGATTTTTAGCAATTAAATTAGGAAAGAAATCAATCTATTTACAACTATAAAATCTTGGAATCAAATTTGATTCGTTTTTGCCACATCAAATATATC